AAAAAAAAAAAAAAAATGTAACACACGTTCTGACAAAACCGTACCGAGATCAGGCCCGCCTCCAGCCACCACACCCGCGAACGCCACGACGCCCCACACCACGGAACGGAAGGAAAACACCCTACCCGCACCCGCAAAACTGACCCGCGGCAACTCGCTCCAAAGACCAGTTTCCGCTTCGCCCTACCGGGGCGCTGGCTGGTCACCGTTTCTTCTTCGCCGCGGTGTCGCCCCGCCCCGTTCGGGCGAAGGGTCCGGCAACGGAGCGACGGCGAGGCCACCCGGCGCCGCGCGCTTTCCCGCCACGGTCTTCCCCAGCCTGGCACTATCTCGCCCGATAGGTGTTTCGAATTTTGGTGGCCGGGCGTTCCCTGGGGTAAACAGGCCGGCCGTGGGGGTTCGAGGGTTGGCGGGGCTGGTGGGGCCAGCTCGGGTTCCGCGTCGTTCGGCGGGAATTTTTGAAGAACACTTCCACCCACCTCCCCACACCTTGTGAGGAGGTCGCGGGGTCGTAATTTGAACGAGCTGCCGCAGACGAACGGGAAGGCCACAGTTAATAGGCCCATGCGTCGGACCACATGCTCTGGCATGGGGCCGTGTTGTCCTAGTTTATTTTTCTGGCCAGGCCGAAGCGCCGCGGCACATCGATAATAACTTCCGAGTTAAGAGGGCTAGAGGACGGATGCGGTTCACAGGCGGATAAGGCGTCTTAACGCTAGAAATGACACTATCGAAAAAAAGCGGGCCGCAACCAATCTTAGAGCATAACCATCCCCAGAGAAGCGACTACCACATAATAGCCTTCAACTTGGTTATTGGTTATGGTGTTTGGACGCTGCCGTAAAAACCCACGCTTCTTCCAACCCCATCGCCATGGCAGAAGTTTAACTGAAGACAATTCCACCAAATAACAAATTGCATCTTCGAAACACTTCAAAGCATTAGAAGCATATAAAAAATAGAGGGACGCAAGAGACACCGTTACACCGCCCAGCGGGTTTTCAGTTCCGGCGGGTGGTCGTCACGAATCCTCTTCCTGAATCCTTACCGCGACAGAAAAATATACCCCGTCTCCCGGCCAAACACCCCAGGAGTGGAAAATAAAAAAGTTTGTAAAATCATTGATGATATACCCAATCTCAGAGAGACGGAGGGTCCATTATTTGAGACGAATCCACAATCGTTAGATGAGACAGTTCTACGGCGCAGTCTCAAAATACAAGGTATAAAGTTGCAAAATGGGAAAAGGGCGCCCCAGAAACAACGTCCAAGAGAAGACGCAACCCAACCCGCCCATCCATGAAGCCGTATGGCAAAATAATGAAACTACACCACTAGCCCAATGCCAAGGAACATCGGCCAACCTTTAAAAGAATCAAAATACATCTGGTAGGTGGGATCCCATTCCATTTTGCGCTTGAATCTACAAAGACCAGTGGTCCAAATACTCTGGCGAAGGCCTTCCGTAGTGCCACATTCCAAGCTCTAAGCAACTGAGTTTCTTTACGGTGACCAAAAAATAATCAACCAAATATTGAAGATAACGGCCGTTTAAGGAGCCAACCCAAAAGAAAAAATGGATCTGAAAAGTTCCCAGGGAACCTTTGCTAGCGGGTACTGGCAGAACGCTTGGCGGAACGTTGGATGTTGTCACCTTGCTTTTCCACCAACCAAATCGACCTCTCCAGCAGGCCGGGACGCTGCACCATTCCCATTCAAGAAAAAAGAGAGAGCAATTTTACGCATCCAGAGAAACTAGAGGGAACCAAGGCTTATATTCAGGAAAACTGCCAAAACTTACACAGTCTCCTTTTAGTGAGGGTTTCCCCATGCCAAGTCCAGGCCGGTTGAGCACCGCTTCCTGCTGAACGGTGTGGATCCCTTGAAGAAAGAATGTGTTGATTTATTTTTTGAGAATATGATAAGAAAGTGAAAATGGTCCGGGAGAACTGGCGGCTGATTCAACCTGTTGAGGCCAGCGGTATGTTAGAATAAGTTTGCCTTCCAGTGGCCGCCAGAGGTTTACTACCCGTGGAGAATTACCGCGACAACATGCTTAAAATAAATTTTTTGTGAACATCCTATCACTAAGATTATCGAAAAATAGCCACTTACGCTTGGGAAAGATTTCGCGAGCCCACGCCCGACCCTCAAGTTGCGAGCGAACGCGTGCCTATAGTTAAGATCTTGGTGGCATAAGTGGCGTCGCTATGGAACCGATTCTGCTGAAAAAAAAAACTTCTCCTGGGAATTAGGCCTTTCAACACGGTCGAAACCACAGCCCGCGCGTGAAAGGAATATTGCCCAAGTTTTGGGGAAATCACGTGCAAGCAAAGGGCCGGCAACAGGTCAAAGGCCGGAACAAGGCCGCCACAAAACCCCTTCGTCTATTTTGGCAAGGTGTAATTATGCAGGCTGCGCCTTTGATATTTATGACGAATTTTACATTTACAAACGGGGCCGTGCCAATACACAGAAGGTGCCGCTCATGCGTCTCTGGGGCGTGTATTCGCCAAGAAAAAAGTAAAGTCCCGAATCTGTGCCATCAGTCGGCTTCCAAGAATGAATTGCTCACGCGGTTATTCTTTATACCTCTCGCTCGGTTTTGCCCCACCCATGGTCCTATGGCCTTGTGGGCGGAGGGTTCTTGACCGCCACCAACCCCGCCGCAAGGAATACAGAAACAAGATCTCGAAAAAAAAAAAAAAAAAACACGCGCATTTAATAAAAGAAAACAAAGAACTTTTTCGCACGTGATGTGTGCGCGAAAGAAGTTCTGTATATTCTTTTGGTGCGTCGAAATGGGATGGGCGGGCTCTGTTTGGTATGCGGGCCCCCCGCCCAGCTTCCATGAGCGGCAAGTTCAACTAGATTGACGCCTTTTTGGCTTTGATGTCTGTTTTTTTTTTCTTTTTTTAAGCCTATGATGACAACGAAGGACGCTGTCAGAGATGATTCAGCCATTTTTGGACATTGACAGGATGACCGGCAGAAGGGAAATTGCCGCCTCGGCCCAAAACAGCGGTCCAATAGCATGTTCCTTTACCGGCCCCCAGCGCGGGCCCCAAGCCGAGCTACCGAACGGGCACGGCTTTAACTTTGAAAAAACGATAATATTTCGCCCCATTTGAGCGGAAAATGAATCGGGTTTTCTCCCAACTCATGGGTCCGGGGCCCCGCTCTCTTTTCCTAGAAATCCTGAGCCCGTCTGGCTTTTGGGCAAAAGAATGGCGCCCCTTCAGAGGGCCATGGCGACACCGGCCAACCAATTTTGGCGCAACGCTTCAGCAATCTGCAGTATCTAGGAACGTAAAGAGCCAGTAATGTTTTTCTTCTGTAAAACTCGAAGGCGCTTAAGCCATGGCATCGTGCCACGCCAGGGCCTGCCGCGTTGCGCGGGCCAAATCAATCCTAGAACGTTATGGGACGCGTCACGGTGCGCTTTCCTGCGGCATCGTATGCCCTGCGTTGCTGTTGAATAAAAATGATGAATGCTTTAAAAAGTAAGATCTCAAGCACCCACGGAAGAAAGCAAGAAGAAAATAGAACTTCCAGCACTTTCACATCCAATATGCAACCGCCACCGCGTGAGGAAATCAGGCCCCACTCCCCAGCACCTATCACCGCAAGCCGCCAACCCACTCGCACAAACTGTACGCAACGTGCCGAATGAGATGAAATGTCACTGTATCTCTTGAGTTCCTTGGCAACGAGGTCTACCTTATCTTGGTACCAAGGTTAAGTACTTGAATTTATTCAAGGAAACTAAATGCACTCACTAAATTTTTGAAGGAGGTGGTCTCCTTAAAAATCAAATTCTTTTTATTTTTCTTTTCAATACATGCGTTCTTAGGAATGCTATACCCTTGGTGGCGTTTGGCCATCGAAAGGTGGATCCAAGGTCCATTACCTCGTATTCTTTCGGGGGAAGTCATGAGTAGTAGACTCTTTCTATGGAGTTTACTGGTTCATAAGCTACAAATATCATACAGCACCGGGGCCAGCAGAGTCGTACTGGGACAAAACTTTATCCAAGAAGGTCCTGGGACACGTGCCGGCGTGCCATCAGCAGCACCTTCTTTTACATGATTCACTTTAGTGTGAATGCTGCTAAAAAGGAGTGGCAGGGACCCTAGAGATAGTAACAATTATGCTCTCCAGTGGGGAAAAATGGATTACCTGCTGAGGAGACTCAGAGGGGCGAAACAATCCATCTTCTGCCACCTACGAGGTCCATTGCAATTGCATTGTCAATGCGTAATTCTTCCGCACGGCGGTAATAAAATACAATGAAAAAAAAACAAATAAAAAAAAATAAATGCAAATAAAATAAATAAATTGTATACATATACATTTATGTATTGCTGTTTATGGCTCGCGACATTGGGTAAAACTCATAAAGACACGAAAACAAAAATCAGAATCCTCTGAGTTGCTTGGTAAACGCGCTCGCTTCTTCACATCACTGGAAAACGTATCAGCTGATGACCCTGAAGAACAGAAAAGAGAAGCATCCGAGCGTTGGATAGCCCGTCACTTTCGCCGTAAAGGCACAGAACCGCCGCCGCGTACCCATTATGAAATTTGGACTGATGGCTCCGTCTTTCCAGGAGAAAAATCTGGAGCAGCAGCAATGATATACAAAGATGGTGAACTGCTCTGTGCCACACATAGAGGCGCTGGCCCCCTGGCTTGCAGCTACGCAGCTGAATCCGTAACGCTATACGAAGGTTTATACGGACACTCCTCAAAATAATTCCTACAAATAACCCAACGCCCTGCAGGGTCTCCATTTTCACGGACTCACTGTCGCTTCTCACGGCACTGGAAACAGGCCCACTGACCGTAAAAGACCCTACACTACGCCTCCTGTGGAACCTAATCCTTCAAGTGCAACGTCGCAAGGCCCGCATACGACTACAATTTATCTTTGGCCACCGCGGTGTAGAGAAAAAACGAAAAATGCGACACAGAAGCCAAAAACGCTGCAGAACTACCACAAAGAACTGATACTTGGATCACAGATATAATAGCCTACGCTAAACGAATACTTAAAGGTGAGGATGCGCCCCATACCTCCCATAGATCAAAAATCATTGGATCCTGGGACCCCACCAAAGATAACCCGGAACTTACTAGAGAAGAACAAACAGCCCTAGCACGTTTTCGCACAGGTGCTTCACATCGCTATGGCTGGTTGCTGCGAAAGATAAAAACCCACATTCCCCCTGGTTGTCGATGGTGTAATCCCCAACAAGTCAGTACGCCGACACCCGTTATTCCACCTAGCCAGAAAAGACCGCGCTATACACTAAACAAAGCAATAGACCCCGCCACCTGCACTGAATGCGGGGCACAATACTCATGCAGGAGCGCCGCAGCACTACATATGGTCAACAAACACGTGGGTTCATGAGAGCCGATGCGCTCTGGAAGATCAAATTCCCCCATGAGCCACCTCCGCCGGACATCCCCGCCAGAACCCCCGCCACCCCCACAACCCCCACCTCCGGACACAACGTTACCCCGCCCCAATTCGCCTAAAGCAAAACCTCACCCGTTTGCCTGCAGCATGTGTAAACGAACATTTCCGCTTCAAAACGGATTAACGCGCCACCTTAGATACATGCACAATGCCACATGCCCTGTCCCAGAGAGAAAACGCCCGCGAGTCAACGAACCGATTACAGAAGAGTCAGCATTTCCCTGTGACAAATGTGGTATGTTAGCGCGCTCTAAAACAGGCCTCAAATCCCATATTAGAGCACGGCATCCTGAGAACCCCAGAAAGGACGCACCTCGCCCTCAGCTCATCCCGCACCTGCTTCACTACGATGCGAATTTTGCCTCCGCGACTTTGGCAACATTGGTGGTCTCGCATGCCACAAAAAGTTTAAACATCCACCTGAAACTCCAATTCTGCCAGCAACAATACAAGTAACCTTTCCAGCGAAATAAGAAACGCCAGCGAGACACGTCGCCATCACCAGAGCGTGAGGACAGAGAGAAAGTCCAATGCGGAGTCTGCCAGAAGTTCTACGCCCACCTAGACTCCCTCGCCATCCACTGCAGAAAATTCCATGAAGGGCAAGGTATGCCCCAAAAAACGAATTCCATCACTGCAAAATACAAGGCAGGAAAAACACGAGACCTTCCGGTATTAGTCTGTCCCTCATGCGGTCGTCAATGTGTATGAGTAAATCAGGCCTAACTCTACACCGAATGCCACGCCACGGGCATCAACCCACCCGCGCGCACACCAGCCAATGCGAAGAAACAGCTCTGCATCTCTTGAGTTGTCCCACTCTTCTTTAACTGCGAGTTCAATTTGCGATAATTGATGTACCCCTGATGAAACTATGTTTTTCTAAGCGGTTAGCACAATTCCTTATTGCGGTGGAGCAGAAGTGCGCTATGCCACAGTCTTCCCACCTAATAAACCCTACTTCAATTTCCTTACACCCCGCAAGGCCTTCCTCGCACATTAGAACTGGCAATACCCTCGGTTATGGAAGACTTGATAGAATCGTACGTAAGAGGCGTCTTCAGCAGACCCAGCAAGCAAAAAAAAAAAAAAATAGGAGTTCATCAAGATCAATTAAACGCAAAAAAATAGAGACCTGGGGACGGGCCAAGGGTAAAGTAGGTGTGAGAAGAGTTTTCTCGTAGTCTGGTTTTCTTGTATGTGAACGGGTTTCGCAAAAATATGGAACAAACTTTAAATTAACAAAAAACTAAAAATAACAAAAATTGTATTACTAAAGCTTGAAGACCCCACAAAACAAAGGAATCTTCCACACATCGCTTTAAATAGCATTAACAAAAGTATTTTGCAGCGATAGACCGTTAGCCATACCATTTGGTAAAATCAAAAAAAGCAAAAAGGAAAAAAACAATCCGCGAAGGAAATGCATAGCCCTTTAAGAAAATCAAATAATTTTGCATTGCAAGTATGAATTCGCCAAAACGCAATTGGTTCGTAATACTTTCATGAGACAACAAAATACAATTATAAATTTCCAAAAACACCAGAATCAGCTGCTGCAAACGCAAGAGTTGGTGAATCAGTGATGCGTACAGGCACAACACCCAGAAGAAGAAATACGCCAAGAAACCGTTACGCATGGACCGCGGCCAACTTTTCCAGCAACAAGCACCCACCTTCCGCAAGGCGAGGGGCGAAAAAAAATATTTTTCTTTTTTTTCTTCTTGAGAAAGGAGAACCGGATTATCGGCGTTTCTGTTTCTAGAACAAAAATAGGAAATTGGAAGTTGCAAAAATGACGAAAGAGCGACAAGGTTTGAGCGAGAGCACGCGCGCGATCGAAAGCCCAACGGAATGCCCACGAAGAAGCCCGCCCAACGAATTTCCAGCAGCGTGACGGAAAAACGCACCCCACAGTGGCGCGGCCAACTCCTGGCTGCGCGACTGTGCCGTTTTTTTTTTTTTTTTCTTACCTTTGACACGGCGCGATTTATGCAGAGGGCTTTTTCGTCAAATGCACCCTGCTTGTGCGCCGAACGGCATTCCAGCCAACCGTTTTATAGAGCAATCGATGGCGGCCGGGGTGTCTCGCGAGGCGGCCAGCGTCTGCTGCAAAAGGAGGCAGTCGCCATTTTTCAGGAAAAAACGGGGATTAGAAAAAAACACCCACACGCCCCGCCAAGGAACACAGGGTGTTCGCAACGTGATTGGGAGAGTTGGTGTGGCACTACGATTTTGGCAAATTTCCCCAAGCTAACGTAGTCACCGAAAAAAAGAATAATAAATATACAAACCTTGTGCACCATAACCTGGGAACGAAGAAAGTCAATAACTAAAAGAATTTACGAATGTCGAATCAAGAACGGCCTCGGGACCCAAGAAAAGGCTATCCCCTTTTCTTTTTCAGACCTTAACTTGCAAAAAAAAAAGTTCTACCCAGAGCAAGAGGGTGCCGCAAACCTTTTCGCAGCCAAAGGGGCTCCGCACAAAAATGTTATTTACTGCTGCCCAAAAATTGGTAACGGTAGATCCAATAAAAAAGAGGGGTGGTCAGTGATGGGATCTGGTCTCGCGGCGCAGCGCGTTATCTGGGGCACAACGGCCGAAACCGCGACGAGAACAACGCGGAGAAATTAGAATCGTTAATTCAGGGAGGCCAAAGGCATGGTCCACCCAACCTTTGACTTATTAAACGTCAAAAAAAAAAGGAATTTAAACATTTTTTAAATGGCCAGGGTATTTCCCAAATGGCGCGCGAAGGGTTGGGGCAACACCAGAAGGAAGATGCCCACGCGCCGCCGCAACACGTAGGAGCTGGTCTTTGCCCTTTCGAATTGTTCCGGGGCCTGCCAAAGAAGGGAAACGGGAACATTTTGACGAGACGCGGGGCGTGGGGAGGGAACCCCCGCCAGACGCCATGGGGAAAAGGGAATCCCATTTTTGGAGTTGTGGTGGTAAAATATTTTATTTGAGGAAAGGGGCTGGCGTTGCTTACGAGGCTTCGCCCCGGCATGGCGCTAGAGTAAGCAAATCCTTTGGAAGCGCCAGGTTGGCCAAAACTACCACGGCAGAAGCGAGGTTTAATTTTCTTCCCTCTGGCAAAAAAAATGGCCAAAAGATTCAAGGAGCAGAGGCCACATTGATTCGCCCTGAAAGGCGACCTGGCGGGTAAAAGAAAAAACGGCAGCTTTTTTTTCAAAATGAATCTTTCTCAAGCTATGCGGGGCGGGTTCCATTACAGAATAGAATTTGGCTGGGCTTCTCGGGTTCGCGCGGTTTTTCCATTGGTTGTTAATATTATCCGAAAATTTTCTCATGCAATCAAAAATGTTCTTACAGGTGGCTCCGGATTTTTGCGGCCGCACAACTACCATACCAAATAATTTGAGAATTCTTTTGTGGGTGGCAATATCGGCATTGATGGATCGGATCAAATTGTGGATAAATGGGCTTAACATTTTTACGCGGACTATGCAGTAGCCTAAAAAGCCAAAGCGAGACAACTGCATTAAAACACAGAAAGGGATATGGGTTCATAGGAGAAAAATTCAACAACAGAGGAAGAAAGCTTCTTTGATTGAAAAGGCAAAACGGCGCATCTGCGAGGTGCCGTCTCTTCAGATGGGTCCGGGGTCAAAGGTATGGAAAGTATTACACTTTCAAAGATGATCCGTGCGATGATGTGTGTGGGTGCTTGCGTTGGGAAAATACTTTCTTCTACATTATCTATTTCCCAAAGGCGTAGCAAAAGCTTTCTCTTCTCGAGAATGGGTAAATTTATCGACACTCTTTTTTTTAATGTGCGGCGCAAAAGGCCGCAGAATTTATTCTGAAAAGAGTGGGCCACAACCTCTGAAAAAAGTTCCCAAGTTCTTCCGCGCTGGGAACGGGCGCGCGCATGTATAAGTAGGGTGCTTTACCATTCAAAAAAGTGCGCGACGTTTTTGGCAAAAGATTACGGGTGGGAACGGGTAGAGGACCAATGATTTCCTAAAAGGCGAATTTCTTTGTTCACCCTCGCCCCGGGGCTTTGAAGGAAATCACATCGCCCTCTTCAACAGCCGTATCGGCAACACCAGGATTTAGAATTAAAAACAAATGAAAATGCACAATCGCACAACTGATTTGAGGAGAGTTCGGCCATTAATCGAGTTTTATTGCGGGGATTGCGGCAAAACAGCCCAACCACCAACTTTTTTTTACAGGAAATTCGGGGCGATGGTCCATTGGCGATTATGTTTTCCTCTCTTTTTTTTAACATTCCATTTAAAAACATTCTGACACGGATGATATCCACACGGGGTTCCCTTTTGCATCCGGAATTTCCAACTTGGAGCGATGGTGCGCTAGGCAGATTCATTCAAAGGGCAATAATGCGATCAATACTCTGCACAGCTTCATTTCGCACTTTTTACTCCTACGAAAGGCAAGCGGCATTGCCAAATGAAGTCGGCTTCACACTTTGAAAAGTGCAGAAAATACAAATATTCGCAAACTCTCCGTGCGTTTTTTCGTTGATTTTGCCCCAGCGGATTAAAACGGGGTTTCCTTTATTGGCAACGTTTTTATGCCCCATCGCGGCGCCAACGCCCCGCAATTGAATCCATTTAAGGAAAGCCAAAGCAATCAACAAAATTTTGCAGAAGGTGGACACCTAAAAAGCTATGTCAATTTTAAATTTGGCAACACGCATTCTTAGGAATGCCATCCCGTGGCGGCGTTTGGCTGCCGAAGGGGCGCGCCTGGCCCGGTGCCCCATGTTGGCGGTGGAAGCCGTGGGTCGGCAAAGCTCTCTTCTCGATAACTTGCGGGCCCGCAAGCCGCAATCGTCACAAAGCACCAGAGCCACCCGCATCTTGCTGCTGCAAAAAATTAAATTCGAGTGGATTCCTGGGGGGTGCTCCGGCGGGGGTATCTTTTTAGATGTTTCACCCTTCTGTGAAAGCTGGCGGGGGGAAGCGCGGGGCCAAGAGATGACGACAACTATGCCCTCCCTTGGTGGAAGTTGATTTGGCCACTGCGTCAAAATCCCTTTCAACACGCAAACAACGCCCCCGCAATCGTATAAAAAATCGAAAAAAAAACTAAAAACTAAAACAAACAAACACCGGGGGGTCGTCCCATCCGGGGGATACCGATAAAGATTAAAATAACGAAGTGGAAAAGATTTTCTTTTTTCGTTTTGTTAATTTTTTTTTTTGGGGCGCCTGTGCGGTAAGCATTCCGCGCAGTGGAAATGGAAAAGGGCAAAGGATAAAGCAAGGAAATTGCTGTCCAAGCGCGTTTGGCAAAAAGGCTATCGAATATTTCTGATCTGCATTCCGCTGCTAGAATAAGTGGCACCTGTTTCAAGAGGAGAATCAACGGAAATTTCGGCACACGTGCATTCTCCTTTAATCCATACCCATCGTAGATTGGAAGTGGTTTTTTTTTTTATCTGGTGAGATTGAGGAATAAAGAATCTTGCTTTAAAGTTTCCGGTGAATGTACAGAATAAAATCGATTTTGTATTTTATCATTGCAGATTTGTTCGCAAGAACCAGGTTTTTTTGAAAGAGTGAGTTTGTACATCATTTCTTTTCATTTTATGATACGAAGAAGGTTTCCGTGCGAGGAGTCCAAATGATTGGCTAGGGCAATGGCTCTCGTACTTTTTCTCCGGCACAACGGTTGCAAATCGATCTTCTTTGAATTAAATCCCGCGGCTAACCTTTCATGCTAAGCGGAATTCTTTAACTAGAAGAAGATTCATTAGCTTTGACATTTGGATGGAAAAGAAAAAGTCGCTTAACTCTAACGCCTTTTTCACCTTTGTTATTTTGCAATCGCTCCTACGCACCAAATCGGGGACTTTGGCAGAACGAGGTGCGATCACGTCAACACCCCTCATGTGGTCGTCAATGTGTATGAGTAAGTCAGGCCTAACTCTACACCGAATGTCACGACACGGGTATCAACCTATTCGCGCGCACACCAGCCAACGCGACGAATGCGAAGAAACAGCACTGCACCTCTTGAGTTGCCCCGCTCTTCAGCCACTCCGAGTTCAATTTGCGATAGTTGATGATGTACCCCTGATGAAACTATGTTTTTCTAAGCGGTTAGCAAAATTCCTTATTGCGGTGGAGCGGAACTACACTATACCACAGTTTTCACACCCAAGAAACCCTACGCAGCCCACCTCCCACCCCCCACCTCTCTAAAATCAGCGACGAGCTCAATCATGGAAACCCTGATGGAAGAGTACGCTCAAGGCGTCTATCGCCGACCCAAAAAGCAACAAAATAAATAGGAGTTCATTAAGGCCAAACTATTACAAAAAAAATAACAAAAAATAACCAAAAATAATAACAAAAAGAGACTTGAGGACGGGTTTTGGGTAAGAAAAGTGAGAGTAGAGAGATCTGGTAGGGTTTACTCGATCAGATTTCTCTTAGAATGGTTCTCTCGCATGGGAAAATGCTACAACAAAAAATCATATTACAAGAGCTTGAGGGTCCTATAAAACGAAGGGATCTTCTTCCTCTTCGGAGCCTCTCGTAAGTCGGTAATTAAGATACTCTACGGTGTACGGCTGATAGCCGTACCATTGGAGTAATATCCATAAAGGCACGAAGAACAATAATAAAAAAAATCACGTCAACACCAGAACCCGCCGCAGATTACCCACCTCCGAAAAACATATATATCTATACATATGTATATATATAGGTCCGAAAGCTGCGGCTTCTGGGGTAGACGCGATCGGAACATCCTTTTCTTCAGGTTGTCGTGGCACCGAGCTCCGTCCGAGAGACACAAATACAATAGCGTAAGTTCTTCCAAGAGGGGCTGCCAAACAGGCGCCAATCCTGGTTTTCTTTTCTTCTTGCCAGAGGTACGGATGCACGAAAACGAAAAGATTTCTCGTCCAGCGTAAAACCGCGAGAACGCAGAAATGTATATTGCTTCTCTGCCCGGAGACGCTTGCTCACCTTCAGAATGTCATCCGTGGAAAATCGACTGGAAAAATGCATCTGGACCCTTCCGGCGCTAAAAGAAATCCCAGCCAGAATGTTTACACCAAGTGATTTCGCAGCAACCAGGAAGCCTTGCGGCACAAGAACGCGCGGCAACACCCCAATTGGAGACGTGAAAGTTGCACACAAAACGTCAAAAGAAAAAAAGCACTGCCCAAGATTGGGGGCTAATCTTTTGTTTTTGCTTTTGGCACAGACGCTAGAAAAAATCTCTTTAGCCAAGCTTCTGGGAAAGGTCGGGTTTGGCCCGCAAAAATAAACGTGGCAAACGCCGGCATGGAAGTCGGTGGTGGTGGTGGGGAAGGGGTCCCCCGCACCCCATCCCTCAATTAAAGGGTGGAAACATCCAGTGCAAAGGGCCCGTTTCCGTTGCTACGGGCGAAACCCGATATCCAGAGGCGGTTGGAGAAGAAGTGGTTTGCCATACCTCGGCCAGCCCCGCCCAGCGAGGGTTCCGGCTTTGCCCGCCGTTTGGTGGGCAGGGCGCGCTTCCCATGAGGCGGTCAGGGCGGAGAACGGCGCCGTGCAGTGGAGGCGCGCCTAAGGTTTTGCGTGGCCTTGTTGGTGGGGGAAAGAAAACGGCGTAGTCAGAGAAGGTGCCCCCATTTAATAACCGAAAGCAAAGCCCAAGAAGGAAGACCAGGGCGGTGCAATACCGCTGGGTCTCCATTTCGCCTTCTCCTTGCGTCATGCGGCGAAAGAAAAAAAAAAAAGCTTGGTTCTGCTGAAGGCCCTTTTCCTCTTCATCCCAGGCGGTCCCATCGGCCGCTGTGGAAGCAATTTTCCGTTTTGAACTGGGTGCGAGAAAGCTTCTTTGGTTTACACGTCCCGCATCTGGAATAAATGTTGCCCTGAAATTGGGTATGCTGCCAGGGCCGTGCTTGCAGGAAGCGCGGTAAGGGTGAGGTTGAAGGGTGTGGGGCAATGGTTTGCCGCGCCGCGCGGGCTCCCTGGCCGTGTGGGGTTCTTAAATGCCCGCGCGACGGGCGCGGGGATGAAGAAAGGCGGACGGCAACCTAGCGCTGGAGTGACGCGGCAGCGCGTCTCGCCACTTGGCGTGGGTTGCCCTGCTTCTTCAAATGGGGGCGCGGCGAAAGGCCATGTGAGGCAAAACGACTTCGTTATGATTGGAGGGTATGGGGGTGGTGGGTTTGGGGGTTATCTCTCCTCACGCGCCTTTGGTGGAGAGTGCGTGTGGTTTCCCGGGCGCGTTTGCAAAGAATGTGTGCGGCCGTTTCTTTCCGGGCATGTCCCCACCCTTTTTTCGGAAATCGTGAAGGGAAGGGTTGGCCAACCCCTGCCAAATGGGGGTGGCGGGGCGTCGCTGTTTGGGGCCCAGGGTTTTTTGGTATCCGTCCGCGCTTGGAAATTGGGAGCGCCGTGTCATTTCTAATGCGGGGTTGTTTTTCTTTCGGCCGTTTCTGGAGGTTTGGGGCGGTTCTTCAAAAATACTTACGGCTACCTTCCCCCCCACACACACGCCGGGCCCCAGGGCGGAAAAGGAAGAGGCATTCGGATGCCTTAGCCAGCGGGAAGGCCGTCACCAATGGGGTTTCGCGAGGGGCGAGGTGTGCGGGACTGATGGGTTGAAAAGCCATCCCTGTGGGCGCCTTTTCTGAGGAAAGAGTGAAAAATCTTTGATGCCCTGTGGGGTTTCGGGCTTGTTGAAGGGGACCCTAGAAAAATCAACAAAACGAAAAAAGAAAATCTTTTCCACTTCGTTATTTTAATCTTTATCGGTATCCCCCGGATGGGACGACCCCCGGTGTTTGTTTGTTTTAGTTTTCGGTTGTTTTTTTCGATTTTTTATACGATTGCGGGGGCGTTGTTTGCGTGTTGAAAGGGATTTTGACGCAGTGGCCAAATCAACTTCCACCAAGGGAGGGCATAGTTGTCGTCATCTCTTGGCCCCGCGCTTCCCCCCGCCAGCTTTCACAGAAGGGTGAAACATCTAAAAAGATACCCCCGCCGGAGCACCCCCCAGGAATCCACTCGAATTTAATTTTTTGCAGCAGCAAGATGCGGGTGGCTCTGGTGCTTTGTGACGATTGCGGCTTGCGGGCCCGCAAGTTATCGAGAAGAGAGCTTTGCCGACCCACGGCTTCCACCGCCAACATGGGGCACCGGGCCAGGCGCGCCCCTTCGGCAGCCAAACGCCGCCACGGGATGGCATTCCTAAGAATGCGTGTTGCCAAATTTAAAATTGACATAGCTTTTTAGGTGTCCACCTTCTGCAAAATTTTGTTGATTGCTTTGGCTTTCCTTAAATGAATTCAGGTGCGGGGCGTTGGCGCCGCGATGGGGGAGAAAACCTTCGTCAGCGGTCAATCGTTCCGGAAAAGTGCCCGCAATTTCTTCGCCAACAAGGTGTGGGCAAAGAAGGCCCCTCTTGGGTTCAAGGTAGCTTTCGTTTCAGAGCATGAGGGAATGAATGGGGTGAAGGGAAGGGTCGGCACTTTCTTCACCTTATTTATTTTGCCCAAAGTAGGGCGCGGCTTCTTTTCCTTAATTGTGTTTTGTTCGTGTCGGGCCGCCAAATCGGAAACCCAGGCCCCGCACAGGAATCAAAGGCCACCAAAAGAGGCGCGGCGAGAATGGTCGCTAGGTTCCGAAAAGAAAAAAGAAAGAAAAAAAAGTTCTTTTTTCTCCGGCGCCGGGAAAAACAAAGTAGGGCGGCATGGGACCTTTTGTGCTTCTTGGACTTCGTTTTCCGGCGTGGTGGGTCCGTTGCCGCACTTCGGGGGTTCATGCGGGGCCGGTGGGTCTTGGCGGATCCCGGCGGTCTTTCTGGGTATAAGGATGGTACGGGCTGTGTATTACCTTTTTTTCACTTGCTAGAGAACATCTTGAATAAAAATTTCCGAAGTGGTCCGTGTAGTTAGAGCTCCTTTGGTTTTTGCCTCCATTTTCAACCTTCGCCCTCTTTGTTTGTGGAATGATGGGCGCTGGGCCGTGTTTTACTGTTGGAAATGTGTTTTGGTAATGGTAACTTAGATCAAGTTAAGTGGCTATCATTTGACAGATTTAAGGGACGGTTCCATGTTTTACGCACTTCTTCATCAGGGAAAAGAAGTCACAAGCATTACATGAAATCAATTCTCTGAGAGAGTTTTTGAATTTTCAAAAAACACACACACACAAAAAAAACATCGAAGCAAGGAGGGATTGAACCACTGACCTGGCATGATAATACACTAATTTAGAGAAACGAGCGACCACGGAAAAGATCGCGTGATAAAATATTAAATAACAAACTAATTACTCTAAAAAAGAAAACAAACTTTTTTTTTATTTATTATTTATTTTTGTAAAACGAACGTGGGCGCAAGTCTTTCGGTTACTTCAGCATTTTATCGGGGAAAACCGGGGACGCCATCGCCCAATTTTTCGCCTTTTTCCTTGCCTTGGGATTTCTTTTTCCGCCTTTATTTTTTTCTTTGAATAAAAGACGCCGTCACGTTTTTTTTTTTTCTTTCCTTTTTCTTTTCTCTGGGGCCTACTGGGCGTTCTCTTTGCCACGCCGTCGCCTCCGCCTTCTTTCACTCTTTTTTTCTTTTTCTTTTTTTGGACCTTGTACAGCGTGGTATGGCGTCGCTGGGGCCGGCGGGCCGCGCGGAATCCGGAGGACCACGAAGGCGAAGAAGGCGGCGGTCCTTGGGCACGCGCGGCCTTTTTTTTTCTTTTTTTTTCATTCTTTTGCGGCGGTGCTCGGGTGCGGACTCTGCTTTCCTGTTATGGTGTCAATATTTTGTTTTCGGTGTTTCGGGCGCTTCTTGGCTGCGGTTTTTGTTTTTTGAATGAGATTTCCTGGCGTGTGGTCCCCCTGGGGCTGGGATTGATTTAATTTTTTTTTTTCGTGCGCTTTCCTAAATCTTAAAAGAAAAGCTGTATTATTATTATTATTATTTTTTTTTTTTTACCTTCTTCTTATTCTTCTTATTCTTATTACTTTTATTATTACAACTGTTGTTGTTTTTATTATTTGTTTTTTTTTTTTAAATACTAGTATGTTATTATTTGTTGCCATTATTCTTCTTATTTTTTCCTTCTCTTTTCTATTTCCATATAGTTGGATTTTTAGAAGTGATGATCAATTTTACGTTTCTCTTCTTATGGACTCTGGTTATTTTTAGTACATTAATTGCTGCCGAACTTCCACTTTCTTATCCTGTTGAGTGGAGTTCTGTACCGCAAACCCCACCTGAGAGACGAAACCTTGAGTCACCTTATCTTGGTAAGTGTATATGCGATGTGACTTGGGGATCATGTGATCCTAATTGCTGTTGTGATATTGATTGTAGTGAAACCGTGAGGAGTAAGTTTAAGTTCTGTCTTCAAGAGAGTGTTGGTTATCCTCCTGTAGAATATTGTGACGGAGGTGCTGATAGTAAAAAAAATATGCTTCCTAATCATCACTATGTTGACAAAACACCTACTGGAAGTGCAGGAGTATGTATTGTTAGGACGAATAATGTAGCTGGTTTAACTCCTTTTTTTGCGTTACCAAGTAGTGTTTCTAAACCTACTGATACTCACTTAAACGATAAGGTTAAATCTAATGGATTTAATGGATATGTTGTTAATGGTGGGTTATTGTTGATGAAAAATATAGAGGTAGCAAGTTCCGTATACGAGTTCAGAAATCTAGGATTATTGACTATTCCATCGGCTAGTCAAAATGGATATTGTAAGTTAAAAGGTAGACGTGTGCGATTTATGAATCCCATAGACTCTACAGCCTGTGTACTGAAAGGTGGAGATATATGCAAATTGTTTCCAACTACATCTTTTACGAATTTATATTTGACAAATTTTGGTAATTATTCAACAACTGCGTTTACACCTATAGAGGTACAAATTTTCAATTATACATCTGGTGAATTACTTATTACACTTGATTCAAATTCTATCATACCAGAAGAGTATCAAAGTATTATTAGTGGTGAGAATTGCAAAAATGCTGTTGTTCAAATTCGAAATATTTTGGTTTATAGCTCAAATGAATCAGGACTTTTATTAACCAATGCAACGACAAGTTTATATATTCGTGATATAAATATAGAGTATATTACTTCTTTACTTTTTCAGACTGAATTTACTCAAAAAGGTATTCTTCCTCCGACAAATTATTTTCCTGCTACACCAGGGTATTTTGATGGATCACTTATACGGGCTGGTACACTTGTGACACAAGAGGGTAAGAAAGCTATAGCAGAAAGAGTTATTGGATTTTCCATTCCTAGTGGAGATAGATCATGTTACCAGAATAATTATCAAACAGTTCGTTTTTTACATGATGTAAGGAGTAGTAGTTGTACAATATCTTCTACTGAAGATGAGTTACGTAAATTATGTTCAGGAATAGGAACGGGTACATTATTACGTAGTATTCTTAGTATAAATGCGGGATCTTCTCCAACTTTTGATGTTGAAACGAAACCAATTGATTATGTTGCCCGTACTAATGATGCACTTGTGAATGATACAACAGCCTGGATTAAAATAGAAGGTCTTGATTTTGGAGATATTTCTCCTGATATATATAATTCAGTAGAAAGAGAATGTAGTAATATTTATATTGGGATACATTACACATTTGTTCTTTCCCGAATTGGGGCAGAAAATAATCCTCAAGATGTGATTGTAGCTGCTTTCGCAGATCCTATTGTTGGAAAGTGGAAGATACGTAATAATCAAGATTTCTCTGGGAATGCGACTTCTATTCAACGTTTTCGTTTTGTTGTTTCCTTCACGCGATTAGATCCGCGTTCAGAAAAAAAAATTCATCAACAAGTTATTGCTCCACCTATTTTACCTCGTTTAGATGATAACGTTTTTTATCCATTTAAGCCACCAAAATAGAATATAGAATATATATATTTATTTACCTGACATAAAATTTCCTGTAGATTTCGTTTGGTGGAAACATATAAATAAAAATTATATATCTTGTGTAAGAAAAGAGTTAAAGAATGACTATAAAAAATTATAAAACCTATAATATCTTTTATTTATTTTTATTTATTTCTTTTTGTTATGTTGAATTATTTAGATTTAATATTTTATTTGTATGCTGCGCAGCAGTTCTAGTCTTAGACGTGGTGTATACCATAATGCACCTAGTGTTTATCCATTTGTTAAACCATTTCATGATACTCCTCACGATGAAGATCGAGGTCCTCATGACGTTGTGAGAGACCGATGGCGTAAAAATAAATGGCCTCAATGGATGGATAATGGAGCTGATGGGACTGGTTATGGAATAGGACTTCATCGAGTGCATCCATTATCTAGACTTCGTGGTAATATTGGTCGCAGTCCAACACATGTTCCTCGTGTTTTGAGTATGATGATTCAAGGTGTTTGGCATAAAAGTGGTGTTAAGCTTTATTTTCGTGGAGGGAAACCTCCAAATCCAAGTAAACATCCTTATTTAACTGGAGAACCTTGTCCTGTATATGGATGGAAAGTTACAGATGAATCAGTAATAAGGCAATTTAATATGCCAACTCAAGATGCTGCAAAAGTACGTTATAAACCTTATGTTGCATTACAGGAAAGAAAAATTATGGGAATTAATGCACCCGCAGTTGTTCAACCTGATGCACCAAAACAGTCTACCGACGCAAAACCTTTAGTAAAACGTCTTTTCTTTTGGCAGTGAGTATGATTTCTCTTTATTCTCTTTTATCAAATAATACGGTGATAAATGAGAAAATAAAAAAGAAAGAAGAAGAATAAAAACGAGAAGAAGGAAAAGAAAAAAGAAAATGTATTGTTTTGGTAGGATATATATATATATATATATATATTAATTATTCTATGAATGCTTGTTTCTTTATAAGTTCTGTACATTTCCGTTTTTTTTTTTTTTTAATGCAAAGACGGAACAAAAAAAAAAAAAATAGGAATAAATAAAATAATTACTAGCCTAGTAGAAATAATATGAAATGCAGGAACTTTTAGGTACTGTCAATAGATATAGACTACGTGCTGGATCATCTTTATCTTTTGGAAAGACTGTGCCAAAAAGAGCGGCAGTACAGTTTGTAGGTTCATTTGTATACCAAGGGCGATTAAATTCTTTTTGTGCTGCATTAGTAGCTCATTTTATGGTTTCAGATGAAGTACTTATTGTTGCCTCACGTGATGCTATTCAAAGAATTTCCTGCGATGGTTATACTCTTGAAGCAGGTAATTCGGTTACCGGACCAAGTGCAGGAGAAATTTCTGGAGTTGCAGCATCTGGAAATTCTGCAACTGTTTGCTATGGTGGTGGGATTGCTAAATACTCTTCAAGGTTATCTTTGGAAAGAGATGTTGGTTTTGGTGGTTATTCAAATAATATTCTTAGTGTGGCGATCACACCTGATGGATCATGTATAGCAACTGGAGGAGGAAATGCAACTGTTACAGTTTGGTCACGTGATATGAGTCCTTTTCATTACCTTTCAGGTCATACAGATTGGGTGCGTTTTGTTAAATTTGCAAAAGGACATAATGGAAAATTGCAACTATTTAGTACAGGTGATGATGGATTAATTTTTCTTTGGGATCCTTTAATTGGTGTTATGTTATCAAGATTAAATTATTCGTATGGAGAGAGTATTCATGCTTTTGAGGTTTCGTGGTTAGATGCCCTTGTGGCTATAGCATGTGATAGTCCAACAATAGCTCTTTTTAAACTAGAGGATAAGATTGTGAAGGAAACAAGTAGTACTGCACCACTAAAACTAAAAAAAATAGGAGAAATATCTGATTTACACCATTCTGTTCCAACTGCCCTCAGATTTTCAGGAGATTCTCAATGGGTTATTAGTGCTGCTGAGGATGAAACACTTGCTGTAACTTCTGTTTATGAACCAAGAAGTAGATTTGTATGTTGTAATTTTATTACAAGGCGACATTGTATTACTTTTATGAACACATTTACTTCTCTTTGTGTTCTCGCTTCACCACCTGAATCCTCTGTTATTATTCTTGCTGCATGTGCTAGTGACGGAAGTGTAGTTCAATGGGTTGTTAACCCTACAACCTCTAGGTCCAGTTATACAAAAAGATTACAATTGCACCTTGGTGCGCTCGTGGCTATGGATGTGATAAGGAATGTCTCGGAATCTTAATATTTTACAGTGCGTTAGTTTTTCTTCAATTTTTGAACGATGTTTTTTTTTTTTTTAATTATTATTTTGATTTAATTATAAAAAAGAATAGAATTTGCAAAGACTTTATGGAAATTCCTAATCTGATGATGATAGTGGAATCTCCTGTATTTTCTTTTTTTTTTTTTACTTCTTTTCTTTTCTTTATTTATTTTGAGGATAATGGCGCTCGTTTTGTCTGATGGGGTAGAAAAAGAGGCAAGACGAATTATTGCATGTGAAAATGCATTTGATGTACTCGAAATAACGCCAGTTAATACAAAATCTGAGGTTGTGTTAAGACACTATGAAGAGAAAGTTGCACCCCTTCGACGTTTAGTGAGAAATAAGTTGGCTATGGAGGCTAAAGCTCGACTGGATCATGCAAAGATGTTGTTGCTAGATGATACTCTTCGAGCGAAGGAGCTAACAAGATTTAATGAGCGACAACGGATTATTATTAAGGAAAGAGAAGAGTTAAAAGCACTTGAGGCCAGGACTAAAATGTTAGAGACTCGTGCAGCAGCGCTTTCTCAATAAAACACAATCTTGTAGATTCTCCAGTGGGGACTATATATATTTCTTTTTCTTTTTCCTTTTCTTGCTTTCTCTCTCTCTCTCTCTCTCTCTCTTTTCTCTTTAATAATGTACTTTGACAAATTCTCTTGTTTTAATTTCTATTTATTTTTTCTCTTCCTGTTATTTTCAAGCAAGCAACAAAAAAAAAAAAAAGCAACACAAACGCTATACCACAAGAAAAAAAGTGGAATTCTATATCCTTTAAGCAAAAAAGAAGAACAAAAAACAACCGAAATAATAATATATTAAGAGAAAATGCAGCGCAGTTTAATTCCAGGACACAACAACAACCGTCATCTTACAGTCGAAGAACTCGAGAACAACATTGAAGGACTGCCAATTACGGACAACAAGCTTCAAGAACTCTTTGATTCTCTTGACACGGAACATAATGGATACCTCCCCATTGAGGAAGTCAAGCAGTTTTACAAGTCTTTGGAGCACTATGGACTGGATCCCACTGATGCAGAGGTAGTCAATGAGATCAAGAAGTATGCAAAGAGTGATGATAACTTTATGACTTATGATGAGTTCTGCTGTCTTATGTTGAACTATGCTCAGCAATAAAACGCAAGCAGGGTACGGAATGTCAATAAAATCTTGCGAATGTACAAAGTAGTTTCAGATGGAAAGAAAAAAAAAAAATATATATATATATATATCCTGAGTGAGGGAGAAAAAGAAAATTATGGGCAAAATTGAAAAAGAAAAATAAACGAAATAGAGAAAAAAAGGAGGCAAATTTACTTTATGCGCAATAAGCGCATGCATGTATATTGAATTTACTTGCCTTCTGATAAAAGCAAAAAAAAAGAGAAAAAAAAAAGAATGGATGGGTGAACAGCTGGAAATGAGAAAGGAAAGAAAACCGTCTTTTTTTGTTTTTCTAATGTGCTTTTATCTTTTTTTTCCCACACACCTCTGAAAAAAAAAAAAGAATGACACCTTTTTTGTAATGAAAATTGTTCTGCACCGGTGCAAGATAATGCTTTTGTTTTCTTTTCTTGCTTCTTTTTCTTCTATTTGTTTAAGGTCTTTTTTTTTTTCTTTTATGAATTGCCTGGGAACTCTTCACCAAATATGTTGCTTTCTCACTAAGGCTGATTTGATAGAGCTCCGACAGGTTTCCCTTTTGGCATATACTGTAACATCAGCGTTTCTTTCTCAGTTAGAATGTAGGTGGTTAATTGCCCCTAGTATTCAAGTAAATGTGGAGCTTGCACCTCCATGTGAAGTTTTAGCCATGTTTTTTCTGAAAAATCAACGAAAACTCTTGGTTTGTGCAACAAGTACAGATAGTAATGGTAAAGTTGAGTGTGGTGTTTATACACATAACGTTAATGCTTTTGGAGAAACTACAAGACGCTATGTAGAGTTACCAGATGCTTACGGAGACAGAGATTCACAGTTTAGAATGGAAGGACAACGATTTTTATTATGCAAAACTATAAGTGGAGTATTGCACGTTTTTGATTGCTCTATGGAGCTTGTTGTTGAAATCCCTCGTAGTTGCGAAGAGTTCTTTGCATCACAAGATGGTTCTCGTCTGGCTGTTGTTCATGAGGGTTTCATTTATTATTTGGACTCTCGTAGTAGTCTTGTACTTCGTTCTTCTAATAGTCAGTACAATAATTCAATAAATTCTTCTCCCCGCACCTTTATTGAACTACAGTTGGAAAATACTCTGACAATTCCAATAAAGATGGATGAGTTTGCCTGGACAACTATATCTGTTGGTAGATGCTCAATTTTGAGAGTTTATGATGATGTCGCCTCTGTGATTCAGGTAGAGTCTGAACAGAATGAGATGATTAAATCAAGTACTTGGTCATTTGATATGGTATCATTTGAATGTTGTTTTGATAACATTATCTGCTCTACATATGTAACAGATTCAGGAGATGATGAATATGTCGCAGTTGCTCCAACTGGAGGAAAATTTATAGTTATATGCCCTTCTTCAAAAGAAGTAAGAGTCTGTAATATAGAGTTTTCCTCCTTGCACCATGCTCTTGTACAAAGCCTTGAGGTAGTAGTATCGGGATCTTTATATGCATTAGTTTTACTTCGTCAGCAAGTACAAGAAGTTGTATTTTTCACAGCTGACATGAGTCTGGTGCGTTGTATCAAGATAGGAAGACCTTCCACGTTAGCTATGCTCCCTCATGAAGGTATAATGATTGCAGCTCCTCTACCTCACGCAACACTTTCTGATCATCCTCTTGTAGAAGCTCTTGAAAGTGGTGTGGGAACAGTTTTTTTCTTTCTAGAAGGTGAAGATTATCGGTATGAAAAATCTCAAGGTAAAGATAGTTTCAGCAGTGTTGAGATGCTTTCATGGATATCTTTCTCTTTAGTGACTGCCTCATTCTTATGGACTGTATCTGCTCTTCTTTACAATGGATGGTGGTTGCATCTACAACTCCTTTTCTTTGGAAAGGTATCATGATGTTTTATTTATTTATTTATTTATTTATTTATTATTTATTATTTGGTGCTCAAGTTTCTGTCTTCAGAGACCCATGAATAATGTTTTATCCAGAGGCACTACCGCAATGGCCTCGTCAGTAGTTTTTTTTCATCAACAACAACAACGAGAAAAAAAAAGAAGGAAACGGGATTATCCGAAAACAACAATAAGCGATCGAAGAAGAAAGGAAAAAAAAAAAAAAAACAGAATGGAGAAATGAACACATATGTGGTAACGTAATAAGGTTTTTTTGCGTTTATAAGCGAAACAAAATATCATTATTATTTTTGTTTTTGAAATCTTTTCTTTCTTTTTCTTTTTCTATTAGTATTGCATTTTGTATTCAATGCAATCTTTTGATGTCTTCTGTGCTGAGGAGATGCTCAGACAGAAGCGTAAAGGAGTTGAAGTGCCCTCGCCTGCTCAACCCTACGAGCACTATCTCTGGCACCGTGAAGCCAGACGACGCTGGGATTTACTCAGGGGTGAAGAGAACCATTCCTCTTTACCAGACGAGTACAAAAGTGATACCGAGACAGTGGTTAGTGGTATTATGAGACGTAACCCGTCGGAAGAATCTCGTACCGTTCCCCATGTGTTAAATTCAGAAAACGAAGTACGGGCAATTCTTTCTTCCCTGGAACTGTTATTGCGTCTTTTTTTCCTTGACCCAAAGGACAAGGTTTTACTGGCTGCAGTTGGGGGATTTCGAACTACTGTGAGTGAATTGCGGAGTAAAGGTCTTCTGGGATGCAAGAATGGGGGTTGTCCGGAGGTTTATATATTGTACGAGTTGTTTTCTTTTAGAAAACTTCTTTTACAATGGATTAGATTAAACACAGAACAACAGAAAGCCGCTCTGGAAACAGCGATAGCGCTTGTGAGTAAAATAAGGTCACCAAAATACACTGAATTGGAGACTCTACTAAAGGAAGTAAGAGCAAAATCCTCCTTATTTTCAGAATATCTTGAAAATATACTTCATTGCTTAACTCAAGCTTCTCTTGATACTCCATATGCCTTTCCCTCTGTATGTTCTGATGTTATGGAAGCAGTTTACCACCACTTTACAGGTCCTTCTGGAATACTGTTACCTGAAGTCAGTTCACAAGAATCAGGAGCAGCAGGTAATGATAAGACTGCTTCCCCAGGTAGAGTTTCTGTTGGTAATGTGATTGGGGTTAGTCGTTTAACTCGAAAACGACCAAACTCTGATTCCCTGGTAAGAGAAGAAAAAGTTTATAACCTTAAACACAATACTATCGTCACAGGAACGGGTCATATTTCTTGCTATTCTAGGTATCATGCGCGGTACTCTACTCCGGAAAAACATGCCAGCAAAGAATGTCAGTTTTGTGTTGTGTGTCACATGATGGAAACATTATTTAATGGATATACAGGTAGTTGCTGCTGGTCTCATGCTCCAACTCAGCGAAAGATAACATTTCACCTTAAGCGTTACCCAGAAGTTTATGATGCAGCAATGCAACGGTTTGCTAAACTAGAAAGAGGTGTAGTGTTAGAACCCTATGGTAATGTTCCGTTGGGTTGATTTGGAAAGTTTCAGTAAAAAAAAAAAAAAATAAACAAAGTGAAACCGATGGAATATATTTGTATGTATATATGTATATAACAGATTTTTTCTTCTTATTAGATTAATTCTATCACTTTTTTTTATTTTATTTTTATTTTTATTTTTCTTTTTCTGCATGACATATTACAAATAGAGAAGAAGAAAAGGGAAGAAGAAAGATTGCAGTAATGTCTGGACAAGAGTTCAACAAACAGAATGATGTCGCTCCATCCGTGGATGCCCTCATTGGAAACACTCCCGCAGTGTATCTCCGGAATATGAATAAAACTGCTGCCACTATTGTTCTTAAGTTGGAATCTGAGAATCCTATGGCTTCTGTTAAGGATCGTCTCGCTTACGCTATCTACGACAAAGCAGAAAAGGAAGGGAAGATAAAACGTGGTAAATCTGTTATTGTGGAGGCCACAAGTGGTAACACTGGTATTGCACTAGCCCTTCTTGGAGCCGTAAGAGGTTATAAAGTTATTATTACTATGCCAGATTCTATGTCTATGGAGCGTCGCTCTTTGCTAAGGATATTTGGTGCTGAACTTATATTAACCCCAGCTTCACTGGGAATGAAAGGGGCTGTGGCCATGGCGAATCGCATCGTCAGTAATAATCCTGATGCAGTTCTTGCGGATCAGTTCTGTACCAAGTACAATGCTCAAATTCATGAGGAAACAACAGGACCTGAAATTTGGCGACAAACAAAGGGTCATGTTGATTGTTTTGTGGCTGGTGTTGGTACTGGCGGAACACTTACCGGAGTCGCACGCTTCCTTAAATCAGTTGGATGTAATGCCAATATTGTTGCAGTTGAACCACAAGAGTCTCCAGTTTTATCTGGAGGAAGACCTGGTCCCCATCGTATTCAAGGAATTGGAGCAGGTTTTGTTCCAGAGGTTCTCGATCGTGAATTGGTGGATGAGATCATTCAGGTATCAAGTGATAAAGCAATTGAAACTGCACAAAAATTATCCCGAATGGATGGTATATTCTGCGGTTTCTCCGCTGGGGCGAATGTTTTTGCTGCTCTTAAAATAGCAGAGCGGCCAGAGATGGCGGGAAAAACTATTGTTACCGTTATCCCATCATTTGGAGAGCGCTACTTATCCACAGCTCTGTACGCATCCGTGAGAGAAGAGATTACGAGCCTCCCTGTTGTCCCAGTTTCGGAAATTCCACAGGTGTAGGAGATATATATTAAAGAAAAAAAAATATTTTTTAAATCAGTACGTTTTTTCTTCATTGCTAGTTATATACCATTGAGCGTATCATCTTTTTTTTTTATTATGATTTTAACAGGTTTTGCCTGAAGATAGGAAGTACTGGTAGAGTGAATATTAATATGTGATTTTCTACCGTTTTTTATATTTTTCTCATATAACAAAAAAAATCAAAATACTGATAAAAGAATTGAGAATAAAAAAAAAATGGGAGAATGTAAAAATTTTTTTTGTCAAATCTTTTCATCCCATTTCTAACTTGTTTCCCCTATCTTCTTTCCCCTTACTTTTATTGTTTATCATATATATATATATATATATATATATATATATATATATATATATATATTTTATGGAGTATTTTCGACACATTATTTTTATTCTTAGAAATAAACTATGCGGTATGGGGATGTTTTGCTGCGCTTAAGCGATGCAGAGCGGGAGGACCTGCAGCTGTTAATTGCTGCCCTTAAGGTTAGTGAATACACAGATGACGTTGACGATATACGCTTTTCAAGTAGTCGTGAAGAGAGGATGTATCGTTCCATGCGTGAACTGTTCGATACTATTTTGGGTCTTTTCATTGCATCAGGGAGTCTCTCACGAGAGTTGAGAGATGAGATTGCTAGGGGAAGAGCTGATATGCGTGTAATACTTGGGGTTTTTGCAGGACTTTTTGAAATTTTTCGCCGTCATAAAAGACTTAATCCTTTTAGTAATAGAAGTGAATTTGGTAAATTAACGATGCTTCTTCAAGATGTTCAAAAAGACTCTATTCGGCGGCGATTACACATATCCAATAGTTTGGTAAATCCGGTAATAACTGTTGAAATGGAGTTAAGAAGGGTTGGTGCTGAAGCCTTGCTAAAGGATTCTGAAGTAGATATGTATCTAAATTCTCATGGATCTGAGAAAAATGCAGCTTTACAGCGAATACTAGATCGTTATGGGGTTAATAACGATAAACTGGTTATTGAACGTTGTTTACGTTCCATTGATGATGTATTTCAATTTATTGAAGGAAATATTGAACCACTTCGATGGTTGCGGCATGTTATTCAAGATGAATTTCTTCCTTTAGATAGTCATTCAAAATATAACTTGTCTATTCGATCAGGATCAGGGGGTGCCAAATTTTCACACGATCATAGACAACAATGTCAATACGTTACTGAATCTCTTACCTTATGGGAAAATGTGCAACGCAATATATTTGAATTTTGGCAAGTTTCAGAAGATGATATGTTGATAGATGGTGATGGTCAATACAGGTTTGTAAATACAGGACAAGGATTTCACCGTATGTGTCGTGCACCGAAAAGCTATACACGTATGTCAAGATGTGTAAGTGAGGCAGAACGTGAAATGGGTGGATGGGTCGGAATAAAAGTTATCCACCTGGGCGATCGCGATGTTCCCAACCCATTAGTATTTATTGATAAATATACTGTGATTCCTCGTATTGTACAACCTATCATGCATACCATTAAAGCTCTTGAAAAAATATTTTCTCATAATACCCCAGAAGAACATCCAGGGATTCGTAATCTGCTACGTTCAAAATACAACTCATACGAATCCATTAGAATGACAATATTGTCAGATTTCTTCCGTCATGGATTCGATGGTTCTGGTGATGATGGAGGTAGTTGCATCGATGGAAGACTTACTTCAGCTTGGAATTGGTGCCATCAACTGGAAAAAAAACCATACTACGACGCCTTTGTTCTCACAGGATTCAATGGATTTGACTGATATTCAAATGACATATATATATATATGTTGTTTTTGTACCCCATACGGGGTTGCAGAAGCACTTGTGAGATTCTTTCCGGTTTACGACTTTTCTTAATTCCGGAACTAATTATGGATGTCTAAGAAGAAGCAGAAAGACGAAAGTAGAGTTTGTAATATGGTTTAAATGACTTTTTTTTTATGTATTTTTTTCTTTGCACTGAAGAGAATAAATATATATATTTTTCTCTTTACTTCAAAAAAAAAAAGAAAGATTATTTTTACAATCTCTTTTTTTTTCTTTTTTTTTTCTCTTTCTTCTTTTCAAACCGAAAAAGTAGTAGTACTGCTTGTCCCTCAAGCCATGAAGTGGATTCCATTAGAGCTAGATCGATCAAGAGAGATAAGTGAACAGGTCGATACTGTGATCAACACATACACAACCCTTCAGCGGCAGTTGACACAGCGGAGGGCATCTAACCCGCCCCAAGTTGAAAAGGCACTTGCTGTTCTTCGGCGTTCCTTTGCAGATCGTATGGAAGAGATGGCAATATTTTATCAGCAGAATGATCTTGATCCTCGAAGTGGTGAGATAGAAGCGGGACGGCTTAAGATAAAGCGATTTTTACACTCCCTAGAGACATCTGATGTATCGAGAGAAGTAGAAGAAAATGCTTCTGCAATTTTACACTCTAGTGACAAGAAGAAGAATGTTGACGTGTACAATACCGGGATTGAAACTATACGACGAAATTTATTAGAAAGAGAGAAAACCAATAATGAAACCACAGTAACCATACGAGTTATTCTCACAGAGGCAGAGTACAATGAAATCCTTGCCCGGCGTGAAGCTATTCGCCAATTAAAACTTAACACCGTACTGTACAATCATTGATTCTCAAATTATTATTATCATTATTTATTTTTATTTTTTTCTTTTTTTGATTTATCAGTATTTCAACGCAGTCGCGAAGAAAAAGTATTTTTTTTTTGTTGTTTTTTCTTTGTTTTTGGACAACTGCTTGACTGTTTTTTTTTTTTTTTTGAAGGTTGTGCTTCTGGGTTCTGCTTGTGTCTTAAAAAAAAATTCTTTTCGTATTGTCTGTCAGCAGTTCCACCTTCACCATTTCTTCTTGATGTTTTTTTGAAAAAAAAAAAAGGATTAGTAGTCTTCACCTGTTTACGTCATTTTCTCATTTTTATTAAATGATTGATACACTTTCCATTATTAGCAATGGAGGGGTGGTCCTCTGGGAGCATAGTGCAGACAGTAATGGACGGCGTTTGATTGTCAATCGCGTTATTCAAGAGGTTCTTCTTGAGGACCGTGCAGGTGTAGAAGAGTTAGTATCTGGTGAATATAAACTACGCTGGGCATTGGAGAATGATGCACAATTTTTTGTTGTGGCCGTATACCCAAAGTTTCTCTCATACCCGCATATGGGTCTCTTTCTGCGTGATATTGTGAAGACCTTCACTAAAAAGTACGGACGGGTACAGGATGGACTCTTTCGCGAGTATGACTTCTCTACAGAGTACACAGAGGCCCTCTCAAGACTGGAAGCCAGTGATCGCAGTGTGGATGGCACTGCAAATGCCTCTCAAGCAACAACAACAACAACAACAACAACAGATCCAACGACAACACATACCGATGATGAGGAAGATGTGGATGATTCTGCGTTAACGGGAGAGAAAGACGAAGGTGATGAGGCTGCGGCATATAAGGGTAGTGGAGGTGCCATCGTTACTAAAAGTGGTCATATCATTGGACGTAAAGGCAAGAAACCTACAACAGGAAAGGCAACATCCGCATCAACAACACAAAAGAAAGGAAAACCGGTAAAGCAAGCCACCCGATGGGATCAACCTGCTTTGGATCCAGCTGTAGAAGAACAGCGAAAACAGCAGGCAGCTCCAACTCAGGAAGAATTGGAGGCACAAACGGAAATACAACGGGCAACCTTTATCAAGCGTTTACCAAATGGTAGTGTTGCGCCAGTAAAAGAGAAAGAATGGGAAAATCAACCACGAGGACGATTAGCAAATTGGCTTCGCAAGTATGTGGGTCACAGAGAATTGGATAGTCAAGATTTTCAAAGTGTTATTCCAAGTTTACGTGAGAAATTAATATCCAAAAATGTTGCCGTAGAGGTGGCAGAACACGTTTGTAAATCTGTGGAAACTTCTTTGGAAGGAAAAAAACTTGGTACATTTGATTCATTACATCAGTCTATTGAAAAGGCTATGATTGCATCACTTCGTCGTATATTAGAACCTAAACATGAAGTCAATATTCTGCGTTCAGTAGCATCTGCACAAGCTCGAAAAAAACCTTATTCTATTGTACTTTGTGGTGTAAATGGGGTAGGGAAATCAACTACTCTTGCAAAGATTACATATTGGCTTCAACAAAGTGGTCATAGCGTTTTGATTGCTGCAGGTGATACATTTCGTCATGGTGCTGTGGAACAGCTAGAAGTACATGGTCGATGTTTGGGCGTGCCAGTCTTTCAAATGGGATATGGTTCCGATCCTTCTGCTGTTGCTGCTGCGGCCATCGCACAAGCCACACGTCAGCAATACGATGTGGTTATTATTGATACTGCTGGACGAATGCAAGACCACGAATCACGTATGCGAGCACTTGCAAAACTTATTCATGATAATCAACCAGATTTAGTCCTATTTGTGGGTGAAGCACTTGTTGGAAATACTGGAGTAGATCAACTTCGAAGGTTTAATCAATGTCTCGTGGACTTTGCGCCTGTTGGAACAGTCCCACGTGGTATTGATGGAATTGTACTAACAAAGTTTGATACTATTGACGACAAGGTTGGGGCAGCACTTTCAATGGTGTACGAATTAGGGCAACCCATTGTATTTGTTGGTGTAGGTCAAACTTACCAAGACCTAAAAGTCATGGAACCTGATGTTGTTGTCAGCGCCCTAATGGACTAGTGAAACTAGGCAAAGTGTATTCCCTTTTCCTTCCTTCCTTTTCCCCCCTCTCTCTCAAAAAAAAAAAAAAAAACCACAATTTCTCTATCTATTTCTCTATCTCTATGTGAAGCTGAAGAACAAAAAAAAAATGAAACAAGTACTACACATATATATGATTTATTTACTTATTTTTTTTTTTTCTTTCTGGTCTACTAATTTCCCTTTTACTTTTTCTTCTTCTGAAGTTCAAGGTCAAGCGAAAAGAAAAAAAAGGAAAAGAGAAAAAAAATATTAGAGATCCCCCTCTTTACTTTGCCCTTTGGTTTGCTTATTTTCATTTTTTTTCTTTTTGTAATTAAAGGTACAGTTTTCCTTTTTTGAAGTTAAGCCACTGTTGGTATATTCGTCATGAATCATGCTACCTTCATCATTATTGTCTATTAGTCAGATGGAATGTCGTAATAACACTTCATCACCAATAAATCGTATTCGTTATTATTATGAAGATGGAAGAGGGAATAAGGTATGGGTTCAAAATCTTACGCTAGACTATGATGTGCAACACTCAGATAATGGTTTCCATAGTAGTTTTGTACGGAGATGCAATTACAAGGATCCGTTCAGCATGTCTCACCAACGCATCAAAAGTGGTTTAGAACATCGGACCAAGTTACCTCTTCATAACAGAAATTACTTGAATAGTAATAAGGTTATACGGAAAGAACGGCAAATACATAATGATATTTCAGGTTCTCCCAGTCGTGCTGTAACACTAGCAACACGATGCACATGCGCTTGTCCTATACATTCTGGGTTGGGGAACTTAAATGTCAAAGATTCTCGAGAGTCATCTGCGAATCTAGAATGGACCTTTCTCCCAAACGAGTTGCTTGAGGGACTGATTCAATCTGTTGAGGATGCGGAGTTTATCCTTAAAAAACTTCGAAACGAGGAGGGCATTTTGCGCAGCTCACAAATGTATTAAAGAGCATTCATACTTGCCCCTTCATGTACTTCTCTAACCCCTTTCTTTTTTTTTTTTTTCTTCTTTTTTGTTGTTGTATCCTGATGGGTGTGGTGATTTCGTAGTGTAAAGGAGGATACACATCTACTGGTTTCCTCTCATTGATAATGTCATGATCTTGATCGTTTTTTTTTTAATGTTTTTTCTAAACCCTCCCCCATTCCTTTTTTTTTTCGTGGTTTTTTCCCCGTTCCCCACCCACCTTTCTCTTTTGTATGCTCTCTTGTCTTCCCCAGGTATCAGGTGAGTGGAGGAGGAGGAGGAAAGCGTTTCTCCCTTTCTCTCTCTCTATCTATCTATCCATACGGCGAGGATGAGGCGACTCTTTATTCTATACCGCCGTGGGGGACTGCGACTGCCGAAGGACGAGGGGATCAGCCCGGGGCTCCACGGCTTCACGGACTATGGCGGGTCCATCTCAGCCTTCACTGCTCCCCAAAGCCAAAAACAAGGAGTAGGAGGCGTAGAAACAGCATCGCCACTCCCCTGCGAGGTACACGGGACTAATGTTGAAGCCGTCAAGGCACAACATATGGCAAACATCGCCCTTAGTGGTAAACTGCCGTCCCCGCGTGATGTACAGAAGGGTGGTATGGGCATATCATCATCATCATTAGCATCAGGGTCACCGATATCTACTGATAAGGCTAGTGCTAGTGCTACTGCTAAGGGTGTGGGTACTGAGAATATGGTGACAAGGAATGCATCATCATCTCTCCCACGGAAACTGCCCACACCGTCAAAGGGATTGCCTACTAAAACCACCACCACCACCACCACCACCACAACAACAACAACAACAGCTACTAGTGATAATAGTGGTTCTGTTTCAAAGATGAACAAGGAGTCAGCTGCAAGTGATGTGAACACGAAGGAGCAACTACGTGCAAAAGAGGCAGAAGACTATTACAGTGCTATCCCACGCAATGCAATTTCTAAAGAGGAAATGTGGAAGCGCATCAGATCTGCTACTACAGATAAAGCAGAACGTGTATCTTCAGCTCTTCAGCCCTCTGAAGTGGATTATTTAAAAATGGAGGATGAACTAAAAGAACATGACCTATTTCATTATCGTATGGGTGAGATTGCTTACCCAGAAACTACAACACGTCAAAACTATTATGCCATGTGGCAACTTGCTATGTCTCTTAATAAAGCTCGCTGGACGATGTTGGATGTTCATTCACAGCGTGGTGTTAAGACTACAGGGGCTGGTATGAAGTTATTATTTTGGAAAGAATCTATAAATCAAATTATGGAAAAACGACAAATGTCTGCAGGTCAGTTTACTGATTCTCATCCAGTTTTAAGACCTTTCGCAGCCGTTGTAGAACAAAATCCTCAAATGACCAAAGCGTTTGTACGAGGATTTACAGATGCTAGGTTGCGTGTTGTTCAACAACCAGGAAATGTTAAACAACTTTTTGATCATTTTGATCGATATTACGGTTATTTTTTTAATTCACTTTTAGAGATTACTAATGTTAAGGACGAAAATGCGGAACATATGTTGCAACATATTGGTAGAGCTATTGGTCTTACACAGCATTGTGTTATGTTTTGGAAAAAATATGCCCGTATTGGATTTACAATGCTTCCTGCTGATCTTTGTGCTGATAACCATGTAAACATAGCATTACTCAAAAATATTTCATTGGCTTCAAGAGATAGGGCAGTACGTAAACTTCTGTATGATGTTATGTGCATAGTTAAGACTGAAATGCTGCATGCAGAACAGTTAGCACCACATTGCCCTCCAACCGCTTGGCCTATTGTGATGGAATGCACATATGCGAATTACTATCTTGGTTTCTTACAACGCCGTGATTTCAACGTAAGTGCGATGTTCGCAGATCACAATATAGAAAACGCTGGTTTCGTGTGGTATCGCCTTAAAAAACGCTGGGAGTGGGAAAAGCATCAAAGCATTAAACGTCTCATTTCAGAGGAAGCACCGCTACCTTTTATTGGAGTATCATTGGGGAGTCGGGGTTCGAACTACAAAATGGCATCTGGTATCGGCCGAACTCATTAGTTGTGATATCGAAGAGTTAAGAAGAAGAAAAACAAAAAAGACAAAAGAAAAACATGGAGTTTTATTACCGTTGAGTTTTTTTTTTTTGTTTTACTCACATATTGTGTACCTGTGTATAAGGGGGTAAGTGTGTGAGAATGCAAAAGAAAGAGGGAGAACAGAGAAATATAGAGAGTTTGTATGTGTTTCTGAGTGAGTGAGTTAGGGTGATAGTGACTACAATATCTCTTTGTATTTTTCTTTTTTTTGTTTCTACCTTTTATTATTGTTTTTTCTTCTTTGTAATCCTATGTTTGAGTTGTCATTTTTCTATTATTATGAATTTTTTTTTTTTTTATGTCTCCTCGTGCATCCTATCTTCTTACTCTTCTTTTTCTTCTTTTTACCGTGAATATGCCGGTAAGAGGAAAGACAAATAAAGAAATCAAAAAAAAAAAAACAAAGTAGAAGAAGAAAAAATCTGTTAGCTCAACACTGTGAATGATAGGTGACCCTAGAGTAGAGGTACCGGCATTCAAGCGATTACTGCGTGCCACAGGAGTGAATCCTGGTAATGCCTTCTTCTTTCGTCGACCATTTTCTACAGATCATCATGAGAAAAATAATGAGACTAGCCCATGGTGTAACTACGCGGTGAATACCCGTGACACACTAGCAACATGTGAAATTGAGACAGAAGACTACTTTTGGGAAAATTCCCCTGCTCTTATTTGTCTACGTGTTCGTCCGGCCAAACCAGGAGTTTCATTCCCTACTTCTTGCATCATTAGTCTTTCAACAAGTTCTCAGAGGATGGATGAACTTGCTGTACAGGATGTTGTTGTAAAGGAATGGAATATGAATCCCGCCAAACTTTCCAACTCAGGTTGGATGGAGACAACTATCTCTGTCAAGACAGTGTATCACATTGCCTGTCTTATTGGAAAAGAACCCACTAGCGGAACTCGTATTTTTTTAACACTACGTTTTGTTGGCTGTTGTGACATGTCAGACACACACCGTATTGCCGCTGTTGAATTACTTTACACGTCACTTCGTCCTCTTGTTTTACCTACTCAGAGAATAAATTCAGTAAATCTTGATCCTACTACTGAGTCTGCTGCTATTGGCGTTGGTCCCATTCTTGAGACTGTAGAGGTGGAATTAACTCTTAGTCCCACACCACTTCGTGTTGTGGATGACAAGCTCAGTGAAGAGGGTTTCTCTGAATATGCTTCACGTTCTCCTTTTCTTATTCAGCACTCCCGAGAGAGAGTTCTTGCGTCTGAGAAGGAATTCTTGCTTAACGAAGGAGCACCACCAATACCATTACGCCCGCCACTACTGCGGTCACAACCTTGTTCCCCAGATAGCAATAAAGACAGGTCTTATGATTGTAGCGAAGATTGTGTTTTAGCAGAATACGCTGTGCACACACCAACTGTTTCACCACCGCGTCGATCCAAAACTCAACCACGCCGCACTATTTATGTGGACGCAAATGACGATGATGATGATGATGATGATGATATCTCTAGTGACGTTGTTGAGGTACAGGCGTCTCCATGTTTGATGCCCTCTAACTCTTCTTCATTGCATTGCTTACAAGGGACAACAATGTTAGAGAGTGATGTTGTTTCTGATGTACCTATTTTAGTTTCCTCCGCAACTCCACCAAAAGGTATGCAATTTAATGAAAATTTTGCTCCACGAAGGGAGGTCCCAGTGATTTCAGAATCTGCTGTTTTTTCCACCAATACCACCACTAGTACTACTAATACTAATAATGTTGCCGCATTACACAAAGATGTCTTTTCACTTGAGCGTTCGTGGGATCACCAACATGAAAAACTTATGAATGAAACGATTGAAGATAAAAGTAAAGGTTCAATAAGGATGACTCCGTCGGTTCCGTTACTATGTCAAATTCCTTTGGTTGTTCCTGACCGAAGGGATTTTGTTCCTGTAAGCAGTCTACAGCGTCCCAAACAAAATGGGCCCTATTCAAATTGGGGGGAGCTAGATTCATACACTAATACCACATGTAGAGTTCCTGTTATTGAAGTTGAACCAGCTGTAGTGGAAGAAAGTAGGCGGCGTATTCGTAATTTACGAGATGTACCAGTATATGAAGAACAACAAGACCTGTTAAAGACGGTAACAGAACTGCTTGGAGTGGAGCGGACAAGTCTCTGCAAGGGTTCATTCTCACGCACATCCTCAACTGTTCCGAGTCGTGTTATTTCCACACAACCGAGCGTTACTGGGCCGCAGAGAAGTCCATCACCGTGTTGCACAGTATCTACAACCAAAGATAGTCGACAACGACTCGTATCGGTTGAAATTCAAGAATCACATTCGTCAGTAAGTGAACCAACACCAACACCAACACTAACACCAACACCATCCTTGGAAATTACAAAGTTGCCAGAGGAATCAAAGCAAAACACAAAAAATACAGAAGGAATTTCTCAAAGTTCAATAAATAGAGTTTTTCGAGTACCGCCAACAGCGGAGTTGGGGGCAAATGAGGTAAAAAAAGATAATTTACTTTTAAACCAATACTCTGTTGTATTGCCTAAACCAGCACCACCACCGCCACCAATGGAGGCACTCCGACCTCTCAAGAACGGGAAAGGTCGTCACTTTACACGACAGCCTTTGGCAGATCGCACTTCAGATATCAACCTTAATGTTCAAAATTCAAAGGTTACATCAGTGGGAAAGTGTACAGTCTGGAAGAAACCTGATAATTCTATCATGGAACCGTTACCATATGATACAACTGTAGTTTCCTCATCGGAAGAGTCGGATGAACCATCTCTTGTTGTTCAGGTCGAAGAATCAACTTCAACTAATGTTCCAGCATACTGGGGAAACAGCATAGACGTTTCGAACACTCATATAGGAGGAAGTTTAACCACAACAACTCCTTTTATAGGAACATTTCTTGTCTGGAAACACCATGTCTCGAGAAATGGGGTAGCAAAACGTATACTTTCTTTACAACGTGATGGAGATGCTGTTCTTCTCTCCCTTAAAAAATTGGATTACAACAAAAAGGTTTCACAGGTTAGGCTACAAGAAAAAATTGAGTTCATCACAGGTCTTCGGGCGTATCACAGCAATGCTATTCACAGAGGTAGCGTTCATGTGGCAGAGTGGTGTTTGGTGATTACTTGCGACGGTAGACAAGTAGCAGCTCTTGAAATGCAATCTTTGAGTGAGTTGAATCTAGCTGTACAGATTCTTCACCCCCTTTGCCCATCAAGTCCTGCATAGGGTTCTCTTTATTCATCTTGGATCCGAGGTGGTTATAGAGACCTTAATGAAAACGATGATGATGGTGGTGGTAATGATCACTATCCAAAAAAAAAAAAAAGAAAAATGTGTTAATATGTTAGACTTTTAGACTTTTAGATTTTTAGATCAGTATTCAATTTGCTCTTTTGTATTTTATTTATTTTTCTTTTTTTATTATTATTATTACTGGTCGAAAGCGCACCCCTAAGGGTATGCTTTCTTTCTGTTTTTGTTTTGGTCTGTGCTCCTGTCCACATTATTATTGTTATTATTATTTGGGTGTGTTTGCTGAAGGGATTTCTTTATGTAACCTGTGCTATTATTGCTATTCTCCTCTTTTTCTCTTTTTAAATCGTTTTTTTTTTCTCCCATTTTCTATTTTGCATTATTCCTTCTTTGGTTTTGCAGAATCACGACACCAGTTATTTGTCTTCAACAATGGACGTTCCGAGTCCCGCAGTTACTCCCTTTAAGTACGTTCTCATCCCTGCCGATGATGCCAAAACACCAAGCGAGGTATCTTTTCCAGGTGGCAGCGATGAGGAGTTTCGTGCTTCAATACAGCAGTATTTTCGAAAATTACTTCTCTCGCAGGATCAAAAGAATGAAATGGCTAAACACCTTATGGAGAAGGCAAAAGAAAATGATAAACGTGAAGGTGACAAAACAAATACAAATATTACAAGTGAACAACAGAACGGGATGATTGCAGATTATCTTGAGCAAACGTCATTTGAAATTGTTCCAATTCTTATGCCAGGACGTGAGAATAAATTTATTGGTACTTCATTGTACATTGATGACAGTGGTCGTTTTAAAGACCTCGCACTAAACTCTCGCGCGAGCAAGATTGCCCAACGCGATATCCGAGGTGATGCCTTTCTTTTACGCAACCATGACGACCCTGCGCTTGACGAGTGGAGTCGCGTGGATTGTACACTTAACAATTATGAGGACCTCTACATAAACCCCCCTAAAACACAGTATGATGCATCCAATCGAGCCCAAATGGCTTCCGCAGCATTGGCGAGGGAAAGCGATACGAAGCGAATCAGTGAGGAGGATGTCGAGAAGGCAAAGAAGGCAAAAGAAGATGGTAATGTTTTTTTCGCCGCTGGTGATCTCAAAGCCGCAGTACAGGCCTACAGCGATTGCATTGAGCTTACCGAAGGACGCAGAGATTTACTGCCCAATGAAATGGAGGCAACCAATCTTCGTTTGTCTGCGCTACTAAACCGTAGCCTATGTTTACATCGCCTTGGTAAAAATGACGAAGCGGCCAAAGACGCCCGAACAGCAATTCACCTCGATAACAATAATGTGAAAGCATATCACCGATTGACTGTAGCGCTTTGCGGAAGTCGAGACTACGACGCAGCTACGGAAGCACTACATGATTACGAACGTCTTGGTGGAGAAACAAGTGATACAGCAAGTATTCGTCAGGCTATTGTAGAGGGGCGAAAACAACTTAACCAAGAACAAAAAAAGAAGTATTCGAAGCTTTTCGCGTAAATGTAGAGATCGAAGATATATATATATA